GTCCACTGCAAAAATTATACCCCTTGGCATGTCACCTGCACTGCCACTTCAAGTGAATAGGACCACATCACAACCACCCTGAACCATGTGCAATGGTATGGGTTTTACGGGGTTAAAACAGCAGATAATAAGGTGATATATCGCTTCCCAGTCAATCCTCAATGCCCTCACTTTTCTGAGGAAAATGCAGCTGTAAGTGCAGTGAAATAGTAAAGTTAGGTGGATCTAAAGGCAAAAATACTTACCTTTGTACAAACAGTCCGACACCCATGAGGTCCCTCGCCGGCACCAGCATCTTCTCCCTGGCTTCCTCTGAGTGGAAGTCCTCAACCATCTTGATTCACCGTGACTGTGCGTGCGTAGGAGTGCTGCCATCCCAGTACACAAGCAGTGTGCTAGAATGTACACTAAGCTGTGCATGCAGGTAAGTGCATTTTATTACATAAGAGACATAGCATGTCTCTTCTGCAATAAAGAGCCTGCTTGTTCACATCTTTAGTTCCACTTTAACTGGACTACTGAAGCCTCAATATTTTTAGGGTATTTTTCTTATTTGTTCCATTTCAGTCTGTTGTATGCCATTGAATGTATTTTATCTGTCCAATGATTCCAAAAAAAAGTAGCTGTTTAATCAGCCAGAAATCTTGTGAGCTGATATCTTCCTGTGCTGTCTGCCTCTGATATCGGTTAGCATAGTTCCCTGCACTCTTCTGGGACCACAAAACAGTTTCTCCTCTAATGGAGAAGAGGTGAAGGTGTTATGTAGTCCTAACACACTCCCTGTCCTAGGATGATAATGTTGCTCAGTGACGATCATACTCTGAATGGTCTAGGGTTGTCAGTGGTGTACCCCAAGGTTCAGTGTTGGGACCCTTACTTTTTAATATATTTATAAACGATATAGGGTCTGGGGTTAAAAATCCCATTTCAGTCTTTGCAGATGACACCAAGCTGTGCAGTGGAGTAACGTCCTTACAGGATGTCTTCAACTTACAAGCCGACCTCAATGCACTGTTTAATTGGGCAACTATGTGGCAAATGAGGTTTAATTTTGATAAATGTAAAGTTATGCACTTGGGGGTTAAGAATATGCATGCATCAGGGGCGGACTGACCATTCGGGCTCTCGAGCAATGCCCGAGGGCCCAGGGTCAGTAGGGGGATCCATGAGATGCCCCTGGTACTGTTTCATAGGCTTTTTTGGGTGTGGTTTTAATGTGGGCAAGGACACAGGGGCCCCATGATTCCCTATTGCCCAGGGGCCCCATGAGTTGTCAGTCCGCCCCTGGCATGCATCATACATACTAGGGGGGGTACAAGTGGGGGAATCAATGGTGGAGAAGGATCTGGGAGTTCTGGTAGATCACCAGCTTAATAATGGCATGCAATGCCAAGCTGTGTTTCTAAAGCAAACAAAATCCTCTCTTGTATTAAAAGAGGTATAGACTCCAGAGAGAGGGATATCATTCTACCCCTGTACAAATCATTAGTAAGATCTCATCTGGAATATGCAGTTCAGTTTTGGGCACCAATTCACAAAAAGAACATTGGGGAACTGGAGAAAGTACAGAGAAGGACAACCAAACTGATAAGAGGCATAGAGGAGCTCAGCTATGAGGAAAGATTATTGGAACTGAATTTTATTTTCTTTTGAGAAGAGGAGATTAAGTGGAATATGATCAACATGTATAAATACATCAGTGGTTCATATAGTGAGCTCGGTGTAGAGCTATTCACCCTTCAGTTTTGGTGACAATGGTCACCAGGATAAATCAAGAGGATAAATCTGCTCATTGGAGACACAGAAAGCAGTAAAATCCTGACAGAGGGTATAAACCTTCCCTATGCTGCCGTGGTGATTTTGGCTTTATTGGCAGGATTGCTTGGTTAAAATAAGGAGGTAAAGTATGAAAAAACTAATGTAGCCATCACATCCAAGGACCAGCAAACTGCAGTACTATCTATTTGTGTTCTTGGGTTTAGATATGCCTTCAATTTTAACTTGATGGAGGAAAACAGATGACTAGCTGGCAAAAAGATAAGGACCACTTTTACAATATGCCAGTATAGATCAGGCAATATCAATAGACCATAGACCTCTAACGATTTGTACCTGGTTGCTGCTTTTAAGACATTTTCTAAAGTCAGCAACATTACTTAAACCACATACATTACAGTGTATACATCTTGAATGCTTTGAGTTGTTTTACAGACCTTTCAAATTTAATATGGCACCTAAGGAACCCTTTACGATGCTACACATCCATGGCCTTCAGAGAGGTTCCAGACTACTCTAGTATAGTTTATTAGCTATATCAATTTAAAGCTGAAGTCCAGACAGACATAAAAAAAACTGTGTTTAATGTAGAAATTCTGTATATCAATTAAAAGTCATTGAATGTATTTATCAGTATAAATAATTTAAATAACTGTTTAGGGTTACATTTTCCCTTTCAGGCCTTGCTTTTTCTGATACACCTACACCACAATCTTCCTTCATACCTATGGAAAGGCCAAGGATCACCAAGATGAGAAGGAGAGCTCAGTGCTTGATAGGATCATGCATATACTTATACCTTAAGTAAATATCTGATTGTGTGCTATGGGTTACTACACACTAACTGTCTTTGTATAATCTTATTTAATAAGCCTAGTAGGGTAAATGGTCAACCAGAGTTCTTCTAATAATAAGTACTGTAATCAAAGATTAACTCCAGGAATTAAGTCCCTATTTAAAATGTGCTGTCATAAGGAATCTATTATATATTACTCCTTCAGTTATCACTATACTGCTTTAAGGCCCCTTATAGTGAGAGTTGCAATCTTCTTTTGGCTACCTGAAGCCCACAAATGTATACATGTGCAGCATTCTGTATATGTTGAACATACAATTTTGTTCAACCTACACCATGTATCTCCAAACTACCTATATATTGTTTGCCTATGTACATTTTGTAAATTTCACTTCATCTTTTCAATAAAAATAATGAACAAGTAAAATGTTTTGGCTTACAATGGGTTAAGTGCAACAAGTGGACTTATCTCTTTTTTTCACAATTTACATTTTACTGAGCTTGGGTGCAGTTATCACTACACTTTGTGGGAGTTAGCACATTGTAAGCCTCACACTTAATTCCTTACAAAGTAATGCTCAACAAAAATACTAATTTTTTTCATGTGCCACCTCAACAAACCTTAACTTGTAATACAGTGTTCTGCACCATGGTGCCATTAATTTTGAAAGCTATCACAACACAACTAGGCAGAGCACCATAATGCATTGTGGCAGGATGTGGTGACTAAAATGCTGCTGGTCTAGTCATACCAATGTTGTGGTACTTTGGTAGCTATTAAAATAAATGGCCTGGCCATAAACGGCACAGCTTTTTAAAAACATGGATCCCAGAAACTGACTTTAAGCGTTAATGTGCTTTGCTGCAAGGCATCTCGTTTATTTTATTGGGCAGCCAACGTACCACAACTTTGGTTTTATCAGACCTGCAACATATTATTCACCACATCCCACCACAATGTGTGCCAGTTATGACCAGTCTAAGGCACCTTTTTATTATTCATTACAGGTATTTGTTTGGCACAGACAATTTATGCAGCACTTTACATACCATATATTCACATCAGTACCTGCCCTCAAGGAGCATACAATCTCTGGTTTTATGTGTGTAGTTGGTTTTATACTAAGTATCAGAAACTAAAAAAAAAAAATCAAAGGATTCATGCTTAATACAAACACAAATTGATTAATTTCATTTTATTTAGTTGAACTGAGAATTGCTGATTAAAGAATGAATAACTCAATCCTGTTAGGATAATCACATCTGTCATTTCCCACGCATACAGCTATCATGTGTGACCAGCTGTGCAGCTGACAGATTCAACTGCTGCAATAAGTTTTAGCCTCCGTGCATAGATTGTAATGTGCTTTTATCATATGGGACAGGCTGGATTTATGTGACATATTGTGCACTTGTATATTGTTTACCACTGCAGAGAAATGACTGCTTTATACAAGTTTGAATTATTATGTTATCATGCCAATAGTTCCTCAACACAAAATATTCAATTGTTTTAAAGCTAAACACAAACTGAATCTCTGAATGAAATATTGCATTCACTAGCAGGTATGATACCTGATTCTACTTTCCATTAAGCGTGTTCATATCCTATGAACCTCTCAAAACCTTGGCTTTTCATAGATATCTCTGAATGCAATTCAATGATATTGATTTTTAACATTCAGCATAAGCACTTCTAGATCTTGAATATGTATATTAAATAGACACAACTTAATATTAACCTCTTCCTGACTGTGTAGCACATATACATGGCAGCAGGGAAAGCCACCACTCATATGCATCCATTGTGGTCTGAGGTTCTATGCTGAGAGTGTGCGCATTGCAAGCTCTCAGCACACTGACTGAGCTGTCTCAGCTGAGCTCTCAGTCACGGCTTCTGATCAGGAGCCAGCAGGATGGGCTAAAGATCAGGTGACCACTGTAAGAGCCAATTATAGCAATAATGTTATCGGAATACTGGACCACTTCCCAGCATTAAAGGCCAGTTAAAAGACCACGGGCAGCCAACAGGAAGGGGTTAAACAAACATTAGGTAATTGGTGCCAAGTGTGTCCTATTGTAGAGTATGGTGTCATCTAAAGTTAACCTCCCTAGCGGTCTGATTATGTCAGTATTTCTGTGCTCAAAGCGGTACTTTTTGTGCATGGAAATATGTTGTTTTTTTATTGTAGGCCTGTAATTCTTAGGAATAACTCACTGAAATCTGTCCGAGCAAGAGTCTAGTAAACATCCCGGGTATGTTAAAATTTGAAACACAAAGTCATAAATGATAATATAATAAATAATCAGAAAAAATAATAATATAAAATTATACATTTAATTCAATTATATAATCAAACCAAAAACACTGAAATTTGAAATAGAGCGCCAAGTTCGCACATCACTGAGCTTAATCGCAAAATCGTTTTCAGTGTCTGATGACGAATTGCCCCACGAATCATTATCACTCAGTTCTACAAGTGGTTCTAATTTACTATCGCTGTTCTCTAGCTGGTCAAAAAAAGATTTTGACCTAAAGGGACGCTTTTTGGACGCCATGGACATTTTCTCAGTTTCCAGGCAGAAAGAACAGTAAAAATGCAGGCAGGGCACAGGACAAAGCACTAGGGACAAAATGTATGTGAAATGGTTTGATACAGTAATTATTATATTATTATTATTATACAGTATTTATATAGCACCAAAAGGTTTGCTCAGCGCTGTACATTATAGTGGGGGACAGTACATGAGACAATACAATAACAAAACAATACACGAGGGGTTCGAGGGCCCTGCTCTTTCGAGCTTACAATCAGTAATGTTATACTATGAGATTTTAGTGTATTGAGTGAATGTCACTTTTAAAATGTTTTAATTTCCCGCCGGTTCCGTCCCCCGTACATTCCGTACGTCCCAATGTTTGCAGGAAAAGGAACCCGGAAGACGGATGCTGGCATCAGCTGGAGGAGATGGCCGGGGATGCTGCAGGGGGGACATCGCGGGAGCAAAGGACAAGGTAAGTGCTGGAGGGAATCCCTGAGCAATGCTGCAGAGTAATCCTGAGTGTAGCTCGGGGTTACCGCTTCTGGTACTGAAAGTAAACCACGAGCTACACTCGGGAATACCGCCAGGGGGGTTAAATCAGAAAATAAAATACAGCATAGCTTCTTTTAACTACCTTATATCCCCAAGGCTGTGGAACACAAAGACAGACATTTTGTAGATAAGGATAAATTTGTTATAGAACTAGACAATGTATGGTGTAAGGAGGCCTGTAGCAGATATTATCTGAATACTCAACAAAATGGCTATTGGCAAGGCTCAAAACATTCAGCTGATTTTACATTGTTCTTCACATCCTGCTTGTTGTTCATATTATACATACTGGTAAAGACATATGAGTATCAGGTGACCAAAAAGATAGGTCAGATTATAGAGAAAAAGCCTAACCCATATGGAAGAAAAATATATTTGAAATATTCTTCCCAAATATATTGACATATATTTGAAATACTACAATTTTGCCCATATTCAATATAGTTGTGACCAAAATTATTCAACCCCCAATGCTGTAAAGGGGTTTAGGGACTATAGTGTACATTTGGAATTGTATTCAAATCAAATCCTTTAACTACCCAAATGCAACTAAAATGACATCAATAATACTCTATGTGTTTCTTCATTGCCACTTTAAAACTACTGAAGAACAGAGGTTCAAATCTCCATCAGGTATTTTGGAATGCATTTAAAAATTATTTAAAAAATACTCAGCTCCTTCTAGACATTTATGTTACAAAATGGTGAAGGCAAGAGAATGGTCCAGGAAGACAGAGAAGAGGTGATTTATCTTCACAGGAAGGGCAATGGCTATAAGAAGATTGCATATATGTTAAAATACCAAGAGACACCTTAGGAAGCATCATTCGCAAATCAAGGCAAAGGGCACTGTTGAAACGCTACCTGGTCGTGGCAGAAAGAAATGCTGACTTCGACTGCTGTGCGCTACCTGAAGCGTAGAGTGGAAGAAGTCCCCGTGTGATATGAGAAAAGATTTGTCATATGTGGGTTTGTAATACTGCGTAATGAAGGCCTCCGTGCCAGAACTCCCATACCCCCTTGCTGTCTCCAAAGAATTCGACTGCAGTATGCCAAAAGCCATGTACAAAAGTTGTGGGATAGTGTTCTGTGGATATGTTTGGGCCCATGGATCAATATTGGAGGAGGAAGAACAAGGCCTATATAAAAAACACCTTGCCTATATTATAATCATGCTTTGGGGCTGTTTTGCTTCTGCAGGTATATGCAAGGTACCATGAATTTTTCAGTACCAAGATATGGAGAAACGTGATGCAGTCCGTCAAAACCTGAGGCTTGGGAGACGTTGGACCTTTCAAATATATCCAAGTCCCTAGAGCATTTGCAGAGGAAAGGCTGGAAAGGATATCGCAGTTTAAAAATTATTTAAAAAATAGTTGCAGTTTTGACTGGAGGCCTTTGCCCATGAAGAATGGGCGAAGATACCCGTAGATCGCTGCAAGACACTTGTGTCAAGCTATGCTTCACGTTTAAAAGCTGTTATAACTGTAAAAGGATGCTGTACTAAGTACTAGATTGAATGTCACTTGGGGGTTGAATAAAAAACTGATAATGCTGTGAGCACAGAAAAGACTTATTTCATTATAACTGTTATGTTATATTTGTCTGACCTACAAGTGCCTCTTTAATGTAAATGTAAGCAAGATGACTGAATGATCAAAAAGTCAATGTCAAACTGGCCAAAACACTCAATTTCAGTATGGGGGTTGTAATGTTAATTTTGGTTGTATATTTACATATATTAATATGAAACTCTATGTATATTTTTGGAATGCATTTATATATGTATGTTAAAATGACTTTTATAGTAAAAAAAATCTGAAGAATATATTTGACCTAAAATAAAAATGCATTTCAACATGCCGTTATATAAAATATATTTTTAAATATATTGAATATGGCAAAATTGTAGCATTTCAAATATATGCCAATTTATTTGGGAAGGATATTTTTAAAATATATTTAAAATATATTTTTCTTCATGTGGGAAAGAACACTATAAGCAGACACTTACCAAGAGGTAGGCAAGTTATTTGATGTTCTGAAACTTTTTCTGCCTCTTATTTTGTATATTTTGTAATGTTATCTGTGGGGTTGATTTACTAAGAAATTGTATATTTTGTATAATGTATGTTGACTTTTATAGCGAATATTGACCTAAATAAATGAATCCGTTGAAGCTATGTGTGCTAGCAAAAGTCCTGTTTTTTTATTTCTCTTGCACACATTTGGGTATTCAATGTGAACACAGCTTCAGCTTACAATTTGCTATGCAAATATCCTCTGCTCCTTTAGTAAATTACCCATATGCTTACTGAGTTGTCTTTCATGTCTTTACAACACAGCAGTAGCCTGGTGGAAATCTGGGTTGTGTGTCACAAGAAGTAGAGCTTTGAATACTGGGCTTTTAGGCACAGGAGCACTGTCCAGCCCTGCTGCCAGCAGCCTATAAAACTCTATGAGAGTTTGACATCTGCTGCAACTGGATGGTGGGGGTTGTTAGTATGTGATAATCAATAGTGTAAATATGATGTAGATGTTGCACATCATGGGTCTAAAGGATCCCGTAAGATTGTAATTATATTACAAATAACTGGTGCAGCCCTGTCTGTTAAAAAACACCTTGAATGGGCAATGGGACTGTTCCTTCTGTACACCTGTATTATCACCTTCCAGCAATGTTTACTCACCTATTTGTACAAACAAATGGTAACCACCCCAATCTGTAACTGGCCTATGCAACAGGGAGCATATGGAAGGACGAGGCATGTCACAAAACAACAAACAAAAATTCCAAGCTCACTTACAGGCCAGCCGGCAGCAAACCAAATTACCCTGTCTAACAATTCATGTTAAAACAAGGAGTTAAGTTTTCACACTTTTGCAAATACATAATTAAGCTGTAGAGGCCACTTTGTTGCAGTTCTAACTCTATAAATTTTGAGAGCCTCCAAAGCTGGATCACATATATAACAGTGGATAGGTTGAGGGTGGTTATGCCTGGAGGGAGTCCAGGCCTCCTTAAAGGTGTAGAAACGCATTGGACACACAGCTATAGCACAATGGCAGCAAAAGTATGCAGTGCATCCCCTCACCAATTCACCAACAGTACAAACAAATGGCAACCACCCCAATCTGTAACTGGCCTATGAAGCAAGAAGCACATGGAAGTGCGACGCATGTCAAAAAACAACAAACAAAAATTCCTATCTCACTTACCATTCAGCATGCAACAAACTGAATTACCTTGTCTAACAGTGCATGTTAAAAGTGAATTGTTAGGGTTAGACATGGTAATTTGATTTGTTGATAGTATTTCTTCCACATTAAGGGTGCTCACTCATTAAACATACAATCCCACCCCTCAGTAATTAATTCTCTATTTCCAGTCATGTTCCCCAATTATTTATTTTTGTGGAAGTGTAAGACAGGACAATATATGCAGAATCCTAACTAGCCCTAATAGATTGAGTGAGGCCAAGATAATGCAAACTCCCCAGATCATCTATAACATCTACTTGACAGTGAAGCTTGTGAGAGTATGCTGAAGCAGCAAATCCTGTCTAACTAATACAGTCTTCAAAAGTAATGGTTGCCCAGCATGCTGATTAACAGTGTACGCAATAGAGATGACAGTAGGGAAATGTAAGTTACATATCCATCTATCAATGTCTCCTAGTTCCTGCCTTTACACTATGTATCCATCTGTTACAGCCTGTTTTCATCCATCTGTCAATGTCTAGATTTTTCAGTGTCTGTCAATCAGCTGGTGACACAAATTGACAAATGGCTAGAATGGATGAAGATCTCATGTCTGTGGGTATATTCACATAGGGCTGGCTGCCTGCTGTCAGGAAAAATAGTGATAGGAAAGGTTATAAAACCTGTTTCAAATGCTATTGTTCCTGCCTGATACATCAGTGCTAAACTCTTCCACTCTATACCCATTCCCTCTTCAATGATATAAACGTGTCAACAGAACCTTCCTTATATGTTTTGTCTAGTTTAGGAGCAGCTTTAATTTTCATATAAGGAGCATTATATACTGTATAGCAATAAGTTTAGTTTAATTAGTCTGCGCAGCGCTTTACAATATAAAGGGGAGACAATACAGCAAAGATACAATTCAATACAAAGGGGGTTAAGAGGGCCCTGCTCCTGGGAGCTTACAATCTAAATAGGAGGGGCTGGTGGAACAAAAGGTAATACTTGTGGGGGATGAGTGATGGGAGAAATAGAAGATCCAGTTTTTAGCTGAAAGCAGGATGGGCTTCTCTGAAAAGATAGGTTTTCAGGGATCGCCTAAAAGTGGACAGAGTAGGAGATAGTCAGACAGACTAGGGCAGAGAGTTCCAGAGGATGGGGGAGGCTCTGGAGAAGTCCTGGAGATGAGCATGGGAGAAGGAGACAAGGGAGCTAGAGAGCTTTATATGGCTTTATATGTTATTGTTAATGTTTTGACTTTTATTTGTTGGGCAATAGGAAGCCAATGGGGGGATCGGCAATGAGGGGTGTCAGACATGGAACAGTTGGTAAGGTGGATGAGTCTTGGAGCAGCATTCTTGATAAACTGAAGAGGGGATAGCCTGCGATTAGGTAGGCCAATGAGGAGGGAGTTACAAGATGAGAGACAACAAGGGAGTGAATAATTTGCTTAGTGGTTTCAGTGGTTAAAAAGGGGTGTATTTTTGGAGAGCTGAGCCTACAAGTTTTGGATAGTGAATGGATTTGGGGCAGAAATGACAGGTCAGAGTCCAGGATTACACCAAGCACCCTGGCATGAAGGGAGGAACTGATGGTTGTATTATTGATCTTGATGGAGAAGTCAGGGGAGGGGAAGAGAAGGGGTCCCAGGACAGAACCTTGGGAGACCCCTACAGAAAGAGGAAGTGGAGAGGAG